AGCCAAATCTGAAGCCGCATCACATGTGTCCTTCACAGAAATCCCAGAATGCATTGCAAAAACTACTCGGAAGATCTGAGAGAGTGAAATGTGTGAGCACAGTGAGCGCCGCTGCTTCAGTTGTGCTGTAATGCTTCATGTCAGCTGGGAATCCAGATTTTCAGCATCTATTAGATCACATTAGCTGGATTTCTGACTGTGTGTAAAGCCAGTTTCCTGCATCAGTGAGCAGACGATCACAGCCGGTCTCTTTTCTCCAACCGCCTGCCAAAGCACGAGCTACAGCAACTGTTGCACAAACCTGCCTTATTTACATATCTGCATAATTAAGACATTTGTGAAGATATGGAGGAATAGTATCAGTGCACACCGTGACTATAAGCCTCTGATTGAGCAAGTCACGTGGCATGCAACACTTGTGCCCACTTTCTCAGCATCTGTCCTTGTTACTATGGAAACATCAGCTTCTTTTCCAGTCGCCGTGGCAACGAGACAGGCTCCACGCCCTCCCTGGAGGCAGTCTGTGTTTACGACAGTCGATGCATTGACCTTTAGCGCTCCATCATTCGGCTGGTCTCAAACACTCCGGTTATCATAACCTTCCACTGTACCAATACATTTGATTTCAGTGACGCACATACACAGAACAACGATTGGCTAAATGTTCATTTCCTGGTAAAATGACGTCCACTTAGCAAGTGTACCAAGAACTGAGACATTCGTTTCAGTAAGAATAGACATTTGTGCCCTCAGCGGTTATATACATCCTGAGTGACAAAATCCACTAATCTCTCATGACTCACACTTACAAATAATGTTCAATAGTTTGGAGCCACATATATATTTTATATATATAAATGTATACTTTTATTTTTCAAGAAAGTATTAAATTGATCAAAATGTGAACTGTTTTCAACATTGATAATAATCAGTCAGCTAATCAGCATATAATAATGATTTGTGAAGGATCATGTGACACTGAAGACTGGAGTAATGATGCTGAACATTCAGCTTTGATCACAGGAATAAATTACACTTTACTGTATATATTCACACAGAAACATAACATAATAGGTATAATAGGTCCCCTTTAAAATGTTTCTTTAATCTGATGATTCAAAGTGATTCAATGACTCACTCATAAATATTCATTTCTTGATGAATCAGCATTTCTGAACGAATCTCTTGAATGAATGATTCATTGACATCACTTGTCGCCACCTACTGGTGTAACGATGTCATCGATACTGTCGTTATATGAAGCATTAAGTTACTTTCAAAAGGTGATTTGCTCTATTTTGATCACTGCCGTAAACACATATAACTTTTATCCCAGAACATCTGAGATAACCTGAATATCTGTAGCACAGAAATAACGATCCAGCGAGGCTGAAAAGCCTGTTAGTGAAGCCGCTTCATGCTTTCTCTGGCTCCGATAGAGCCAAATCGTGTGGGTGTTTGAATCGAGATCGCAATCTTTTAACGATTAATCGTGCAGCTCTATTGTGCAGGGAAAAACAGCGATATATGGTGATTTACATTTCACCCTTCTCCAGCTAAACACGATCACAACACCTATAAAAGCAGTCAACACGAAGCGGTCGAACACGTGAAACACGTCTCAGAGGGCGTTGGGTCGGGGCGGGCGATGCCATACGCCCGTCTGCCACCGTGAAGCTTTACTTACGTAAGATCCTCCCGTTGAGCCCTGTGCCGACACTCACAGCCTATCAAAACCTCTGGCCTCCAAAAATACTCCTCGCATCTGCTTCCAAACATCTACTGGCCTGTTTTAGCCCTTTTCCTACTTTATGAAATGACACAAACACGACAGAACGAAGGAAAACTGTCCTATAGTGTATAATAATAACACAAAACTTGCATAATAAAAACAAACAAAAAACGTATGTCGAGTGCAACCGAATTTAACAATGCAGAATGTATTTGTATTTTATTGTATTTCAACAATGCATTTAATTGCAATATTTCTATATTGATATTGCAATATTTTGCCATGTGCTAAAACTGCAGTGAACCAAAGACAGTCTCAAAAACGCGCTTTGAAATCGCTGGTGTTTCTGACGTCACAAACCACCTTGGAACCAATCAGATCAACGTGTGATCGTCAACCAGTGAGTGAGTGGAGGCGGGGCTCATTTGCATATTCATAGAACCACACACATGTCACGTTACATTCAAGATATTTTAAGGCATTAAGACATTTTTTTTGCATGCCATTTTGGTGATAAAAGATACAATTATTTAATAATTTATTATAAAAGGGATTCAATTATTGACAACACGGGGGCTTTAAAAAAATTAAAATTAATAAATGCACTAGATAAATGAAAAACAGTCGCTTGATCATCTGAGAACGAATCTGTGATCAGCAACTCATTGTGCCTTGATCAGGTCTATCGTGGAACGGAAAGCTAAAGAAAATGCTGTATTGTAATTTTCTTTTTGTTGGTTACTGAACGATTATGATTAAGTCGTATAACATACAATCTTATCGATTACTCCATATGTTCATATTTTCTCAAAATACGTGATTAGAAACCCAAATACATCTCTATATAACATAAACTAGCATTCAAAGCACATCAGATTTACCAGTCACAGAGAAACGGAAGTGTTTATCGTCTGTCTGAACGAAAGCAGCGCTGGGTCCGTGCTGTAAGTGTGTTAACACTCCACCATTCATAACAACACACGTCACAATCACAAGAGACACACAAACGACAGCACGGCCCAAAAAAATCAATGCCATTCAGAGATGTGCACAGGATCTACTCAAGCCTAAGGAAAATATTACTTTGCTTTGTTTGATATATATATATACATATAGGACATTTCAGGCAACCTAAGATGGAATAATAAAATTCCCTCTAATGTGACTTTTGACACAGAGCTTTTTACTATTTTCTTATTTTCAGCTCATAGTACAACACACACGCACATTATGGGACACTGTCATTAATTTGCATGTTGGAAAGTGTGACAGCAAACGCTGATGTCCTGTCTCCTGGAGTGTATAAGTAGCTCCCTCAGTGACAGAGTCCCTCCCCGCTGGAGAAAGAGCCCAAAATTACAGAGAACTAAAAGAGACAGCTGTGTCAGACGCGCCCAAACACACACACACACACACAATCTAAAACCAGCAATCGGCCATTTTAAGACACACTATACTGTATTTTCTGCAAGTTGATCAAGTCAACATGCAATGTGATGTATTTCAGAGTGAAGACAGGCTAAAACAAGATACAAGAAAGCTGGAGGTGCGTCCCAATGTGCGTACTTGTGCACTATACTATACTTTACACTGAAGACTGCAAAAACAAGTGCACTTTAAACACCCAGTTGATGCACTTAATTAACCGTAATAAACTAAGTGTGGAATGTTGGAGACTTCATGCACTCGACTGTCACAGCTTTAATCTTAAAATTCATATACTAGACCATGAATATGATGAATTCATATGGGTGTCCACCTATTCTAATATTTAAAAGATAGCAGAATATTTATTTATTTTTTATGTAAAAAGACCCAATTAATACTGTGGGGAAAAAAAAAATATTATAAATGTAAAGTATTTAGTTTCTATTAGCATACTTCATTGCGTTTTTAACCCAGATGTATTTTATGCGTGTATTTTTTTTTTTTAAATAAAAAATACTTTGTAATCAAAGTATGAATATAAGGCCTATAAAATTTCAGTTATTTTAAATACTTTTTTTTTTGTATATTTTACACTGATTTTCTTATTTTTTTAATGAAATTGTATTTATTTTAAATGTATACATTTATTATTGATTTTACTTGTAAAAACAAAATTTTATTTATTTAAAAAAAATCAAAAATATTTTTTTTTAATTAATTGAATCAATCTTATTTTTATTCATTATTTACTTATTTATTTTTATAATACTGATTTTTCTCCAAATTTTTCCACGGACACCCAGAATTCCCTTTTGGCCTCCCAGTTTGAAAACCACTGCATCACTAGACAGATGAGTGCATAGCCTTCTGGCATTATGACAATATTCTATTTAAATACAACTCTTGCGTTTCTAGTTCTTACACTTAAGAAAATAAATGCTTTAATGTAAACAGGCTAGATTATGGAGATACAAGGACTTTTTATACCAACCCGATTCACAGATACGTTTAGTTTGGATGATACAAACTAGTTCAGTCATTTAAGTTACAAATTACAAAAAAGTTGTAACTGAAATGAAAATAGTAATAAAAAAAAGTTAAAGTACTGAAATGAGTACAACTGAAAAAAATCCGCAAATCACTGTTGCACTAACCAAATATGACCTACGTCTGAAAATAAGAGACTGCTACAGCAATTATAGAGCAAGTTATGAATGAAAAGTGGAGGATGTTACACAACACGCTTTAAGAAATGAGCAAGCAATAACTAAACCTCGACTTACCTAATTGGCGTGTTGAAACAGATGATGTCGGGGAACATAGAGGAGAAAGAAATAAAAAGAGCATCACTTACGACTGTATTGCACTCTGTATACATGCATGAATAGACAAGGGTGGTACATATTCACACTAAAAAATAGTGCCAGAAGAGAAATGGGTGGTGTAAACCGAGAGATAAGATTGTCACCAATGGTAGTACAAGAACAATCACGACAGCAGAGTGGAGATGCAAAAATTGTGAGGGAACAACAACACCACCTCGTCGAATAACTGCAAACCAAAGCGTTTTGATTAGTATAGTACACCCTGGATCACAAGGTTAATGGGGGGAGGGAGCGGGGCTCTTTCTTGTTTGCACAGGTCACAGGTCATTCATTGCGGAAGAAACACCCAAGCAAAACCAAGCCAACCCGCTTTAAACGAACCCTAACCATTGAGTCCAGCTGACGGGGTGACATGTTAGTTATTGGGGTGTGCAGTTTAATCACTCAAGCCCAGGCTTGGAATCCACACAGCCATGCATTAAGTGGATCCAGCTCCCAAAACGTCCACAACAAACCTTCCAATGTCAAGGGCAGTCCTCCGGCTGGCTCCCGAGGGTCTGCAAAACTAGGGAAGAAAGGCGGAGCGGCCGGATTCAAACCGGAGATCTGTGGAGACGGCAACTTCGCATCAGGGGAAGTTGGACTTTTTGATGAAGAGGAACTGGACTTCTTGTTGCCTTGTTTGTTTTTTGGTTCCTTTGGGGATTTGCTCTTTGGTGAAGGAACTGGGACTTGGGTCTCAAATGCAACATCTTCCAGATCAAAAGGTTGATTGTGGTTATTAAGAGACCACGCAGGTCCAGATGGAGAAAACGGAGGCGCTGAGATTAACTCTTCCATCGGTGGTACAAAATAAGTGTTTCCAGGGGTGGAAGCCAGCGGCTGCTTCACTCCTGAGTCTCTTGTGGGCATGGGAGAGGTGTAGGGATGTTCTTGAGCAAACATCGCCTCCTCAAAAGCTCCCCCAGGAGAAGCTTGAGCATCATTGAGAAGAGAATCAGCTTTCCCCAGAGGTGATGGAAGGGTGAAATCATCTTCCGTGTCCATGAGATTATCATTGAATCCAGATGATGTGGACAAGGGGAGTTGATCGGGGGCTCGACCGGGAGACTTTAGGGAGATCATTGCAGGAGTTGTGGATGGTGGGGAAGTAGCTGTGAGAGACAGGAGATCTTGGGTAAGAGACAGAGGAATGAGACTCCCATCAGTGTAGTCCTCAGAAAACGACACTAGACCACTGTCGACTCCAAGGGGTGACTGGGTAAAATCAGTTGCGAACTCTTGCGGCACGGAGGCCGAAGAAGGGACGAAGGGTTCGGCATGGATCGCCCATTCTTCGGGTATCTTCTTTCGGCTTTTCGGCTTCTTGGCTCTCCCACCAATGCGCCCGACGTCTTCCCAGCCTCCATCTTCTTTGGACTGATGGAGGCTCTCGGATAAAGCGCTTTCGCTCTGCATTTCCGCATGGAAGTCGTAAACCTCGTCCCTGGGTCTCCGTTTTTTCTTCTTCTTTTCCTTCTTACGGTCAGATCCTTCGCCTTCCCTTTCCTCGGCATCTCCCACGCTTCTGTCTCTCGGGGACCACTGAGGATCGGTCGTATCACTCTGGCTTTCTACCAGGTGACTTGCATGGCGACTGATAATGGTGGAAACGCTGGGCGTGAAGGGCAGGTCAGAAGGAATGCCGGCCTCATCGGACCAGTGATCACCAAAGACACCTCATATACAGAGAAGAAAGGAAATTAGAGCAGCACTAACTCCCTTTCCACTCTCTCACACACGCACAAAGGCATTCGCTAAATTCTCAAATCACGCCTCACAATCCCAGACAGATTTATGATATTCCCTACAACCTGTGAAGATCTAAATCAGATAATTTGACCACCTTTTGAGATGCTGACTGGTCTGAAATACACGATATAGTCAAAACTATTACATGAAACACATTGCCTTATTTCACTTCTATAATAAAGCAGTTCATGTGACATTGCATGTATTTTTCAGCCAAGTTTAAAAATTTGCCATTGTAATAATATTATTCAAAATACAATCAGTTTTTTATTTGTATGTTTTTACTGAAAAAAAGTATTTTCCTTCCTTTTTGGCAAAGATGTGCACAAAGCAGACTGAGCAACTGAGGTCAAGCATAACTTATTTAAAAACAAGGTCTCGTTTCCTCTATAAGAAATAATGAGCAGAAATAATGATTTGTGGGGCATGTGAGACGACTCCTCGTATAGTAAATAACTGGACGCTAGATGACATGCCTGACTGACCAAGATATCTTTGTCTTGGAAGATAAGGTCTATAACCTAAGGTGTTTTGTGTGAGACGAATAAAAATATTACATTTGCTAATATGTCATCATCAAATCGAATCTGGATGATTTAACGATCAAGCACTTGATAACGGACTCGTGCATGAGTTAATGTGACTCTACAAGTCTGACCCTCCATCTGGTAGGTGTCTAACACTGTTTGCACATCAACAACCATCCATGAGCAACAAACCAGGCAGAATATCATTCTGATATGCGAGGTGAATCTAGGTCTCAGCTGCAGCGCACTACCCCTATACAGCCGAGAAACCCTTAAAGACCCCTGGGACACCAGAAAACGAAGGATTTGACAAGCTTTGGCAACTGATGATGTAACTCCGCCTTGCACCAGTTATAGTGCCCCCTAGTGGGCAGCAATAGTTTTAATTACTAATGGATTAGAAATTTGCTCCACAGGGGCTCCTGAAGGAATCCCATAATCCCTAATACAAAACACATGGGAAGTACATGAGGGAAATTGACTACATATTAAGGGCATGAGCAGCATTTAAAGATGATTTGTCACACTATATATATAGATATATGCAGTACTGCCTCATAGAAAGATACTCTAACATTGAAAAATGCTGATATTTGTGCAGTTGTGTGTACATACCTGCAGATGTGTCCAGTGGGTTCTTGGGTGTCGTGGCCGCCAGGGGTTCGGCTGGTATTTTGGGGGGTTCGGCTGGTATTTTGGGGGGTTCGGGGGCCTTAACATCCGGTGAACCCTGCGGTTCGGCCACACCAGACGGTCTTTCTGTCTGGACAGGAGCGGCACCTGTGATCACCGCAGACACTGTGCTAGCCTGAGAGAAACCTATGGAAAATTACAGAAATTCAGAGAAAAAGTCAAATACATGACGTATTTATTTAAATACACCATGTACCGGTGGTTTTAAACCATTAAGCTTATTAATTTTCTAGAATGTGAGGTTTTGATAATAATAATAATAATAATTACAAATAATGATGATGATAATCCAATATTAACAGTAGTAATATAGAATTAGTATATATAATAATTATTAATAAAGGATAATATTAATAGGATTTATAATATAAGTTATTAATGTATTATTTAAATAACAATCATACTACTACTACTACTGCTAATAATAATAATAAATTAAGATTACAGTATTACAACATGTTGAATGAATTATTAAATAAATACTTGACAGCTATTAATTTATTTATATATATATATATATATATATATATATATTTTTTTTTTTTTCTGAATCTACATTTAATGAAACCTTTTGTGCTTCATTTCCTTAAGATTTCCCTGTAATTTAGACGGTTTCCACTATCAGCTAAGATGTGGATGCTTCTCTAACACACTGTCTATGATATATGCATGTATTGTATATACATGCACGATTATCAGATCAGACACATGTTTGGTCCTGCATCACATCAGGTATGACAGAAACAGTAAGGTATGTAAGGTAAGACACGATCAGAGCTGAATTCTGATGCGAGCGTGACTCATTATCTCCCAAGAGCCCCTTTAAACCAGCACTAATATCAGCTAATGTCCTTCTAGCGAAACACAGGGCTGTTCATTTACCCCACTAATGAATTCACGCTCGTTATCATTACTAGCATTACTCCTAATGCGGCCCATTAGACTGCAGAATAAAAGCTCCAGGTTATTTCTATTCAAATCTTCATTTCTCAGCATGACCAGAGATGGAGTTTCTGTCTGTGACTTTCAAGATGATATTGCCACACAATGACGCCAAGAACTTTTTAAAGTTTCCCTACATCTATAACCAATATAACTAGTCGGCCTGTAGATGTGCATCACATTCAAAACAGGAATTACAGAAGGAGCAGATCTTTATTAAACGAGGTCAGGGGTAATTAGAGGTGTTGTTTTGCCGGACGCACAATTTTAGTAAACCTAATTAATGGCCGGAGAGAGATTCAACAAGATGACACTGAACGAATAAAAGCGTATAATTAACGAGCGGCCCGGCCTCGAGCAGCAAGCACTGAAAAAGCAGCTAAATCACATTACAATAATGATTTTCAAAGCTCTATATATACACATCTCAAAACTCAATTAGTGAAGATGCAAGTCAAAGTATTTGCTATTTGTTGTTTTATATTGTTATATACTGTGTATATATATATATATATATAAGACCATTATAAGGACGAGTCTAAGGGGAAATTTTTTTTTGTGTGGTCCATAAAAGAAAGTAGGGCATTACCAAACCCAAACTTAAATGTTATTTTTAATGTGATACCCAGAAACAATTTTGTTTATTCTTTAAAGATTGAAAATTCGCACTTGGTGGCAAACAAACACTTATAATAAAAAATAATAAAAATAATAAATAAAAACTATAGCCAGTAGATGGCGGCAGAGGAGCACGCATTTTCACTCCAGAATATGTTTTTTTTTTTTTTTACAAGTTTTGCTTTTGAATTTATATTTATACATTATGAAATCACGATTATAAAATATCAAATTATCAAGAAATAAAATTTTGTCAAAGTTTGGCACTGAAGTATCAAGCTGTCGGTCAGTCCATGATACAACAGAAGAACAATGGGATATTTAATAAGAGTAGAATATAGAATACTTTTTTTCTGACAAAAATTGGGTTTTTGCATAAAAGTTATTTTTTCTGCACCTCAACTCAAGTTCAACACTTATCTCTCAAATGTACATTTCTAAGAAATAAACTTGATACTATTAGTAATTTTAGGATTGAAATCCACGCAGCGCAACCAAAATCAGGATGTTTTTTTTCTTTTGCACAGAATTTATAAAACAATTCCGTAAAATTACAAACTATGCTTATGACTATGAGTATTTTGTTTTTTTGTGAGGTCAGTAAAGGTGGTCACCTGAGAACGGTCCCATCGGGCTGCTGTCCATCATCTGTGGAGGACTCGACTGTGAGCCACACTGATCCGGGAAACCAGACATCGTGCCTACAAAACAACAGAGAGAGAGAGAGAGACAGACAGAGAGAGAGAGAGACAGAGAGAGAGATAAACAACAGGGCGAGTCGTACAAGTGTGCAGATGCTGAGCTGCATTTTAATGAGAGGAGAAAAGTGACACGAGTGTTTTGTAGGAGGCTTTACAGAGAGACGGAGATCAAGCCGTCACGATCAGCTGGTTATCACTAGAGCAAGGAAACATGTAAATGTTCATGTGTCCTTTATCACAGAAACTACAATGACACATCACATTACAGACCAGCGTCTGTGCTGCAGACATTACTCATAGATCAGACTCGAGTCAACAAAACGACCAGACCATTTATTTCGCAAGAGACCCCTAGCAACCAATCAGAGCACTCTGTTTAATAAATACACAACCTAAATATGATTTTAGTAAGAAATCGTATCAGTCAGTCCTGCTCACTGATCGTCTGCCGCATATAAACTGCAAACACTTTCTCCATCTGGGAGTCGCTGATGTAATAGGCTGTCGTTAAACCAGTTTGGGGAGTGAATTTCATATGGGAAGAAAGTTATATTTTAGCCTTAAAATGTTACATAAAACTTTGGTTGGCCGGTTTACGTCAGCAGAATGGTCTGCATTGTGAACTAAACCTTATTAAGTAGCTGAGAAACTGAACTCACCTGATAGTAAGTCTGTCCCAAACGTCGGCTGATGTGGCCGTGTGTCTGTCAGCGGATTGGTGGAGCCTGTAGAACAGACAGATGATGACACTTCTGTTGATTAAAGACCTCACCTGGCCCATCTCAAACACACGACACACACTCTCATGCAGAACACGCGGAGTGAGAGTCACTGCCTCTGACTGGCACGCTGCGAGCTCACGGACCCGACTGGATGATCCGAAGTGGCGGTTCTGGACGAGACACCCTGCCACAAACCCAGAGGCTCAGAGCGGGTGACGCTGAGGAGACGTGACAGGACCGAAGCAAAGTCACAGCGGCACCGTGGGCGTCACGGACCCGGCCCGGACCTCCGGGTGCCACGCGGTCAACGGGTTGGACAGAGTTCAGTTCGGCTTACACTGTCTGTGCTCCCGAGCCAATTTCTGTACAGACGAACTGAGGCATTGAATCTGTATCTGAACTCTTTCCCCGTCAGCGGTTTTTGGAAAAAGTTGCCAGCACGCACCAGCATTTGTTTGATAATTTTATCAGAAGTTGTACGCATGGCTCCCAGAACATTATATAAATAACTGAACATGCAATTTATCAAAAGAAAGAACAACAAAAAACGTTTTATTATAGCTTCATGCATTTTTTTTAAATCACCACTTGAATATGGGTAAGGGTCATTAAAAATGCAACATTTTGAGCTGAGAAAATTATGTTTTGACAAAGACCATGTGTGGATGGGATTCAGGATTGATGATCTAAATCTCTGTGCTCTCCAGCTAAAATCAAGTCTCTTGTGCGAGATTTGCCTCAATATCAATACGGATGATATGAGGCAATGACTCTGTAAGTTAACTCTTTCTACTCCAGTGTAAAAAAAAAAAAAAAGCACACACCAGCATTTTTTTAATCTTATCATAAACATTTCATATTTTGCAATATACATGCAATATATCAAAAGAAAGAACAGAGCTTCTGCTTTTCAAAAACAAACAAAAAAAAGCATTATGAACACTTGAATATGGATAAGTTTCATAAAAATGCAACATTTTGAGCAAAAAGCTGAGAAAATTATGTTTTGTGAAAGTCTCTGTCCGGATGGGATCCATCTACAGCCCCAAAGCGTCACAGTTCTATAGCTCGTCCTGGGTCGACATCTCATTCAGTAACAATCAGTTTCATGACTTTTATATGAGCCTGAATTCAACGCCGGAGAAGAGATTTAACAGAATCAAACTCTACATCAGGTGACTCCATCAGTCTGAAAACACCATCAGGTGACCCATTGGTGTCCTAAAACTCCATCAGGTGACCCAATGGTGTCCTAAAACTCCATCAGGTGACCCAATGGTGTCCTAAACTCCATCAGGTGACCCAATGGTGTCCTAAAACTACATCCGTTAACCCAATGGTGTCCTAAAACTCCATCAGGTGACCCAATGGTGTCCTAAACTCCATCAGGTGACCCAATGGTGTCCTAAAACTACATCCGTTAACCCAATGGTGTCCTAAACTCCATCAGTTGACCCAATGATGTCCTAAAACTCCATCAGGTGACCCAATGGTCTCCTAAAACTCCATCAGGTGACCCAATGGTGTCCTGAAACTCCATCAAGTGACCCAATGGTGTCCTAAAACTCCATCAGGTGACCCAATGGTGTCCTAAAACTCCATCAGGCGACCCAATGGTGTCCTAAAACTCCATCAGGTGACCCAATGGTGTCCTAAAACTCCATCAGGTGACCCAATGGTGTCCTAAACTCCATCAGGCGACCCAATGGTGTCCTAAAACTCCATCAGGTGACCCAATGGTGTCCTAAAACTCCATCAGGTGACCCAATGGTGTCCTAAAACTCCATCAGGCGACCCAATGATGTCCTAAACTCCATCAGGTGACCCAATGGTGTCCTGAAACTCCATCAGGTGACCCAATGGTGTCCTGAAACTCCATCAGGTGACCCAATGGTGTCCTAAAACTCCATCAAGTGACTCGATGGTGTCCTAAAACTCCATCAGGTGACCCGATGGTGTCCTAAAACTCCATCAGTTGACCCAATGGTGTCCTAAAACTCCATCAAGTGACTCGATGGTGTCCTAAAACTCCATCAGGTGACCCAATGGTGTCCTAAAACTCCATCAGTTGACCCAATGGTCTCCTAAAACTCCATCAGGTGACCCAATGGTGTCCTAAACTCCATCAGGTGACCCAATGGTCTCCTAAAACTCCATCAGGTGACCCAATGGTCTCCTAAAACTCCATCAGGTGACCCAATGGTCTCCTAAAACTCCATCAGGTGACCCAATGGTGTCCTAAACTCCATCAGGTGACCCAATTGTCTCCTAAAACTCCATCAGGTGACCCAATGGTCTCCTAAAACTCCATCAGGTGACCCAATGGTCTCCTAAAACTACATCAGGTGACCCAATGGTGTCCTAAACTCCATCAGGTGACCCAATGGTCTCCTAAAAGTCCATCAGGCGACCCAATAGTCTCCTAAAACTCCATCAGGCGACCCAATGGTCTCCTAAAACTCCATCAGGTGACTCAATGGTCTCCTAAAACTTCATCAGGTGACCCAATGGTCTCCTAAAAGTCCATCAGGCGACCCAATGGTGTCCTAAACTCCATCAGGTGACCCAATGGTGTCCTAAAACTCCATCAGGTGACCCAATGGTCTCCTAAAACTCCATCAGGTGACCCAATGGTGTCCTAAAACTCCATCAGGTGACCCAATGGTGTCCTAAACTCCATCAGTTGACCCAATGGTCTCCTAAAACTCCATCAGGTGACCCAATGGTGTCCTAAACTCCATCAGGTGACACAATGGTCTCCTAAAACTCCATCAGGCGACCCAATGGTGTCCTAAACTCCATCAGGTGAGCCAATGGTGTCCTAAAACTCCATCAGGTGACCCAATGGTGTCCTAAAACTCCATCAGGTGACCCAATGGTGTCCTAAAACTCCATCAGGTGACCCAATGGTCTCCTAAAACTCCATCAGGTGACCCAATGGTGTCCTGAAACTCCATCAGGTGACCCAATGGTCTCCTAAAACTCCATCAGGTGACCCAATGGTGTCCTGAAACTCCATCAGGTGACCCAATGGTGTCCTAAACTCCATCAGGTGACCCAATGGTGTCCTGAAACTCCATCAGGCGACCCAATGGTCTCCTAAAACTCCATCAGGTGACCCAATGGTGTCCTGAAACTCCATCAGGCGACCCAATGGTGTCCTAAACTCCATCAGGCGACCCAATGGTCTCCTAAAACTCCATCAGGTGACCCAATGGTGTCCTGAAACTCCATCAGGCGACCCAATGGTGTCCTAAACTCCATCAGGCGACCCAATGGTGTCCTAAAACTCCATCAGGCGACCCAATGGTCTCCTAAAACTCCATCAGGCGACCCAATGGTGTCCTAAACTCCATCAGGCGACCCAATGGTGTCCTAAAACTCCATCAGGTGACCCAATGGTGTCCTGAAACTCCATCAGGCGACCCAATGGTGTCCTAAACTCCATCAGGCGACCCAATGGTGTCCTAAACTCCATCAGGCGACCCAATGGTGTCCTAAAACTCCATCAGGCGACCCAATGGTCTCCTAAAACTCCATCAGGCGACCCAATGGTGTCCTAAACTCCATCAGGCGACCCAATGGTCTCCTAAAACTCCATCAGGTGACCCAATGGTGTCCTGAAACTCCATCAGGCGACCCAATGGTGTCCTAAACTCCATCAGGCGACCCAATGGTGTCCTAAAACTCCATCAGGCGACCCAATGGTCTCCTAAAACTCCATCAGGCGACCCAATGGTGTCCTAAACTCCATCAGGCGACCCAATGGTGTCCTAAACTCCATCAGGCGACCCAATGGTGTCCTAAACTCCATCAGGTGACCCAATGGTGTCCTAAAACTTTCTTGTCTTGTCTATAAAATGAAGATGAAGCGAGGAGAGTGAACAGGGTGAAGAGGGACATGAGGAGTGCGTGTCCTCTGACTGACTCCAGTGAACAGGGTCAAGAGGAAGACGAGGAGTGTGTGTTCTCCACGACTCCATCAGTGTCTACACCACAGGAGATCTGCTTTACACTCATCCTCAGGATTACAGCGTTATGTAATGCTAACGACTTACAAATGATTCAAAATACATCACAAATCTCTAAAAGACCAATCCTAAGAATGAGAGCGCAGGGAAAAGCACCTCTGCAGACAGGGATTATGGGAAAAGGCTCCTTCATCAGCAGAGAAACATCCTCAAACTAATGCAGACTCACTAATGCAGAATTAAGAGCAGACAGACTGAGACGAGGACGCCAAAGACGAAGAGCTTTACCAGCACAACTACAGAACTAGGGTCAACACACGGACACACACTTCACATTAAAGCACAGTCCACCCTAACCTTGATCCAAACCTGTACGAGGTTCTTTCTTTTCAACACAAAAGAAGATGGAGTGAAGAATATGACCGTTCAAACCCACTGACTTGAAAACACTATGGAAGTCAATGGGGTCCAAACCAACTGACGGATTACCGACATTCTCCAAAATATCTTCTTCTGTGTTCAGCAACTTGAGGAAGAGTAAATGATGACAGAATTATGTAAACATATATAATATTATACTACAATATATTAGAGCCAGACCGATATATCGGCCGGCCGATATTAGGCATTTTCTATAATATCGGTATTGGCAGTTATAATGGCCGATAAATGAATATTTAAATAATAAAATAAAAATGGAGGAAACACGCTTCAATCATCTCTCCTTGGCCTGTTATATTGAAAATGTATGTTTTACAATTTGCAGTATGACGTTATCTATTGCTAAATTATAGCTCATCATAGACTAGCTAACCACAAAGCTAGCTAATGCCGCTATCATCAGTGGAAGACCGCTAACGTTTACATTAATGAGCTTGGAAACCACAATGAACTTTTTCTGCCTAAATAAAGCCATGATTACTGTATTTATAACTAGCATATCTCTAGTTACAGTCCCTGCATTGTAAAATGTAAGTTATACTTGCGAGGAGTGAACATTTAGACGTAGAGAAAAAGTATCAAACGTATCTTGTGCAGAAAAGTTCGCTTTTTTTTTTACACGTGTGTGAAATCCAACAATATTTAATAAAAAAAAATAAATAAATCGGCCAATATATCGGAATCTTGGATTTTAAAACCCAAAAATATTTGTATCCGTATCGGCCTTCAAAATCCTTTATCGGTCGGGCTCTATAATATATACACACTATCGTTCAAAAGGTCGGGGTCAGTCATTGATAATAATCATAAACGTTTGTTGAGCAGCAGATCGTCATATTAGAAGGATCATGTGACCCTGAAGACTGCAGTCATGATGCTGGTCTTCTTGATACACAGATAACGACATCTGACTAACAAATATCAAGAGTGTGTTTCTAACGCAGAGCTCGTGTGTGTCGGCCACAGCTGGATCAGTCGATCTCAGGAGAATCTGGAACACACACTCGCATCTGCTGCCCTAAAACACACTCAAGTAGGCCAAGCCGACCCATATAGAGCTCCCGCAGGACACACACACACACACACACTTCAGTCCCTGTCGATACTCCGCTCACGCCATCGCAGGGATGGAGAGCAAAGCTAACGCACAGAAAAGGCGGGTCAACTTAAAGGGAAAGTTCATGAAAACTTGATTATTTACTCACCCTTCGAGCAGCAAGTGTGTGTGTGTGTGTGTGTGTGTGTGTGTGAATGAACGGTTTCTGTGTTTAGTCGTGTTAGCACCCCCATAGTTAACAACTAATGATGTTAGAATGGAAGTGAATCAATCAAAACTAACTTTATCTGGACAATAAGTCTATTCTAGAGTCTATTCTATAAATGAAGGTAGCTTTAGTTTTGACCTTACAGTGAAAGTGAATGGGGTCCAAAGTTGTTTGAACAGCAAATCATTTTTTGAGTGAACTATCCCTTTAATATGCAGCAATACAGCTTTATAGTCTCCAAAGCCTCTAAATCAAGCGGATACAAATATATCAAAGTACAAGAACACACGGAAATCAGTTCAGACAGTCAGATACAGTCCATAAAAACTTTTATTCGCTGTGTGGACACTGGGAAAACCTACACACACATCAGAAGCACTAAAGCCTACAGGAGTGTGTGAGCAAAGTGTGTGTCCCTGGAGGACGACGAAGCAAACAGAAGTGTGTTAGATTCAATCCAGATCATGTGATTTCTCATGTGACCAAATAATGCAAACACATATCAACCAATGCTGTGAGTTTTGGACAAGACTTCTTTTGTTATTTTCAGCCCATTTAATGAAGTACATGTAGAACGGGTCAGATAAACTGTTTAGAATGACAAGAGAAGCAGGCGACTCCATCCATCGGTTACACACACACACACACACACACACACACACACACACACACACACACACACACACACACACACACACACACACACACACACACACGACCCTTGAGTCAGGCCTGAAACAGTGAACATACACTTACACAAACTCCCTCCCTGAAACTAACAGACTGAATAACATTCATAAACCATTGACTTCTGCAATGTGACGCATTTTGAGATGTGATTTTAGTATGAGCTAAATAATGTTCAAGTTTTATGAATATTTTGATACTACAGTTGTTAACATGAACTAACAGACAAATTCTTCAAAAAGTATTAATCTCAGTTAATGTTAAATTCACACTCTCTCATTTCTGCATTTGTTCATATTTTATAATGGACCCGAGCTAACATGAACTAACAAGGTGTTTATAACTAACAAACATTTACTAATATATGTGTGTGTGTGTGAGTTTGTGTGCGTAAGAGTGTGTGAGTGTGAGAGAGAGTTTGTGTGCAAGTGATTGTGTGTGTGTGTGTGTGTGACTGTGAGAGAGAGAGTGAGTGTGTGTTAGTGTGTATCTGTGCACGTGTGTGTAAAAGAGAGAATGTGAGTGTGTGAGAAAAAGAGAGTGTATGTGTGTGTGTGTGAGACAGTGAGTGTATCCCGAGGCTGATGTCTGAAACACAGTGTGTGACTGCGCTCTGTCATCACCAGATATATCATCTCTCACTCTGAGCTACGATTCCCTCAAAAGATCCCGTTACCCATGATGCCGCACGGGCCGTCCTGCGGTGTTCCTGATGTACAGTGAGCCTGAGATGACTTTGCCGAAGAGGAACGTTTCTTTAACCCTATAAAGCCTAACGCATCATCATGATATCAAATAAGATATCCAAATCATCAAACAGTGTGCTGTGAAATCTTTGCTGATTTTTATAAAGTAAGCATAAGAACAATGATGATATTTGATATCACTCGTAATATTTCAAGTTGAAGTGGATAAAAAATAAAAATCTTTTTTTTTTTAAATGTGAACATCAAATATGATCATCAGGCTTTTGAGGAAGTTTTATTTGTTTATCAATGTGTTGCACTGCATTATGTCTTCATCTTACTAAGATATTACAGGGTGACGACTGATATTTATATGATTTATATGATGTCAGCAGTCGATGAAGATCTCATTGATTTACATTACAAGCATCAGAATTTGCTGTTTTAAATCCATATTCTGACTATATCAGAAAATATAAAAGCCATAAATATAAAAGCCATAAAAGCCTGTTTCAAACATGATACTTCACAAGAAACACGAAAAAAAAAAAGATTTTTCTGACTGTTATTTCATACGTCAGGCTTTACAGGATTAAATGCATCCCAGAGGAGATGAAGAACGTCTGTTTTAAACATAGTGAGCCACAAACATCAGAGACAACATCCCACAATGCCTTGCGAAGGACAAATCTCATACAAAATAGTGGATTAAGCAAAATTGTATTAAAAAAAATATTAATAAACGTTTTTGTCCCATTTTTTTTAGTATCATGCAACTAGAAAATTCTAGCTTCAAACAATATGAATTAAAATCAATTGTAAATTAAATTGATAGTTTTATAAAAAAAAACATTAAAATCACACATTTTTCAATAATAATAATAATAATAATAATAATATATATATATATATATATATATATATATATATATATATAGGGCACATTTATAATACAAAAATGTTAATAAATTGTGCAACTATTAAGGTTCTATGAATTCAATTGATTAGACATGTCTTTTTATTATTAAAATTAAACCATTAAAAATAATCCATAAAAAACATACAGAATTATGGGGGAAAATACAATTAATTTTCATAGGGCCATTAAATGTGAGTTTTGTTTGTGATTTTCAATAAATTGCTGTTAGATTAGTCTAATCCTCATGATTTCAGTAGACTAGGCAAGATTTTGGATTTCTACAATTTAATTTAGTCATTAAAATGGAATCCAGAAAAAATTAAAAGCGAACTTTTGGGGAAAATAAAGCGGCTTTGAGTCCTCAGTCCTCAGGCAGGAGAAGTGAAGTTGGGAACGGGTTTCCAGAAGGTTCAGCGGAGCAAAGCAAGAGCAGTCGGGAAGCAGATGAAGATCTAGTCGTCTGAAGCGTCACACACACACACACACACACACACACACACGACGCAGGGCAGAAAGAAACAGCAGACGGGAAGAGAACAACAGCGCTGGTTAGTACTGCACACCTGTCAATCATCTTGTCAGATCATGCAAGAAGATCTCGGCGTCTTCACGACACAATACACACATGCAGGACAAACTTATCATCATGATGAAGCCAGAGCTCATGCAGGTTCATGAGGGGAAGCAGCGCCATCTACAGGACACTCGCACAACTGCAAGAAACAGCGCTGAGCAATGCGCTCATCAATGATGTGTCTGGGAAATAATTAATCCATTTATTTATTTATTTTTGTTGGACATATTTTAGCATTATAAAGAGTTCAAATCAGACTAAATACTGGACATAATTCACAATATACATAACCTGTCCTTCAACATGCAAATAGGAAACACGCTTACAGTAAATAGACTTACAACAGATGCATTTCATGCAAAACAGGCCAGACAAACTGTAAATAAAGGTTTGGCACAGTCAAAGGGGTCATGTGACCGGATGATCTAAGATGAGCTCACGACGATCAGTCAAAAGAAAAGTATAAAGACAGATGCTGTTTAACTCACTGCTAACGGGACAAACATCCAATTAAAAACTCAACTAAAACCTTTATAAATGAAGGTTTCAGTGCGTCTACACCCACTGAGATGACCGACGTCCGCCCGAAACAAACGAGCAGAACTGAACATGAGCATGAGGAACACGAGCAAACCAAGGAGTGAACCAAATAATGAAGACGCCCGCAAGTAAACTGAGGCGACGGTGTCTTACCAGGGGTCTGAGACCCTTGGCCTTCCTGCAGTCCGTTCTTGACCACTGTATCTGGATCTGTTCACACACACACACACACACACCCCAATAAACCCAGAGGAGGAGCTTATCTCACACACAAACACAATGAACATCACAGGTTACTGAAAGAGGAGAGTAGGGCTGCGCAATTAATCGCATTTATAGTCGCGATTACGATTGCGTTATCAAAGCCGCGATTACAGAAAAGTCCACTCACATTACTGTGTGTTTAAGAGTGTGTTACGCTCATGACGACAGAACGACAGGAACTAGCAGTGATGTTAGCGTACGCTGAGTTTCTCAACTTTCCTGTCGCTATACTGTGCTACTAGCGCACACTATATATAAAGCACAAAGAAACTACGAGCATGAAACGTCGTTACGCTGAAAATCAGTAAGTCACAAAATAAAAGTAAAATACTAATAAATCCGTAACTGGATTCGAGAGGATTGGTGTGATGTTCATTCTGTCCATCAGGAGCAGTTCTGGTTAGTCACTTCATCTTCATCCTTACATGACTGTGGTGCTCATACCAACATCCCATTAACAAACACTACTTATTTAATAGCTTTCCCCCATAGGTCCACAGTATTACATCATTACAGTGGATCTGTCCATCATAGAAGCACTTTAATGATGGACTTCACTCATTCACTGCCATTATAAAGCTTGGAAGAGCCAGGACATTTTTCACTATAACTGGTTGTATTGGTCTGGGATGATTTGAGGGTGAGTGAATGATGAGGTAATGTTGATTTTGGGTGAACTCACCCTTGCCGTCAGTGTCCAGGAGGGGGATGAAGTCGGTCTTGCCCACGGTCTCTCCGACCTGATCCTCGAAGGGTTCGTCCTCCAGCGCGGAGATGAAGTCCCTCTCCACTGCGTTCTCCACGTCCGGCTGAGGACCGCTGTCGCTCAGAGCGTCGGTCAAGCTCAGATCCGCCATCACTTCACTGACAACGACAGACATTGGGTTTATTATCACAACAACAACAACAACATGAGCCCACTATCAGGGGTGACCCGACAGCCTCATGTCACGATATTACTGCGCCACTCCAAGACACAAACAATTGTATGTTGATTAAAAAGCTAAATTTGATATTATATTGAGTGTGTACATGAATATCTTGGACTTGGTGCTGAAACCCAAAGCCAACAAAGACACCAGAATAACAAAATATTCATGATTCTGAAGCTGAAACACAGATTATTGTAGATGAATATGATGATCACTGACTAGATATATATATATATCAGGATCCATAAATATTCCCCCATTGCATTATTAAACATTATATATAATAGTTTGATGTACTAAAACTCTAATAACTATGTATTTGATTAATTTGAACTCTTTTATAATACTCTTTTCATTTTGGGTGAATTATACACAATACAGTCACTATCGTCCATGACACATATTGTTGCATTTTTGTATTTTGATATATAGTGACCCGATCTACGGTTACAGCCCTGCCACATCTGCTCATTAACACTGTATTTATCGCCAAAACATCTGAGGAAACACTTTCAATCACACACACACACACACACTACTGTAATGATGTCATTATATGATGTCGCTTCTTGACATCATCAGTTTGATGATTTCAGACACACGTGTGAGAAACACACCTAAATCTGCTCCTTTCCTTCTTCAAGTCCGTTTGTTTTAAAGCCTCTGTTTTGCGTGTGTGTGTGTGTGTGTGTGTGTGAGTCTGCTGATAATCATAAAGTGTGTCGTCCTGTGCTGTGTAATCTCAAGACTGTGAGTCTGTGTTTTCGTAAATCACAGAGATTAAAGATGAGGCAGCGGTGTAACGCAGCAGGATTACAGCTGTGGGATCACACACACACACACACACACACACACACACACACACACACACACACACACACACACACACACACACACACAAATAAGGCCCAAAATATAAAAGGCTGAGTGAATGTTCCAGGACAGGAAGCGAGGGTTTCAGACAGGAAGTGGGTGTGTATAATATTAGGTGGCTCTTGTGAGCTGAGCTTCCTCTGTGCGCTCACTCAGGCCGACCCAAGATCTCCAGATGAGGTCACGTCGTCTGGAGCTTCACTGAGGTGACATCATCATCATCATCATCATCATCATCAGTCAGATCATAAACCGCCTCCTGATCATCATCCGTATCCTCAATCAATTGATCAAACATCGTAATACTGCTCTTTAGTGCTCAATCAGACTCATTTCTCACTTATAAAAACTCCTCAGGACAATTAACGACATTAAATAAAATATAAAACATTTATTTAATATTAAAATATGAACTTAAATAATAAAATATTAAAAATAAATTAAACGCAATAAAAAAAATAGTAAAATCTAAAATGAACAAATATATATATATATATATATATATATATATATTAAAAAGAAACAAAATAATTTTAAATACAATTATTATTATTAATAACCAATTTATTTCTGAATCCTCATATTAGAGTTGCTAGCCCACGCTCGTGCATTGTGCCTCACTGAAGAGTGTTTGAGGATTACGGCGTCAGCTGCACATGACCTGGATCGAGCGCCAGCGGATCACAGCAGCCAATCAGCAGCGAGCGTCTGGGAGACTTACAGCTCTGGCTCACTTTCCCCCAAAGCTACGAACAATATCACATTATAGGACACACTCGCTGTCTCGCCGTCTCTCAGGAGTCACACACACACACACACACACACACACACATGTGCTCAACAGCATGTCAGTGCATTAATGATATATAACGACTGAAATATAAGCCGGATGATTGTCGACAGGTGACAGGAAGTGTCATAACAACAGAGAGGGTCACATGACCTACACAACATCCCCTTCAGCAGCCGTTGTGGGAGTGTGGACGTACGATGAGGACGAACTGTTATTAGAAAATTAACTAAAACTGAACATGCAGAAAGTGTTCGTTCACGGAGTGTGTGCAGATATTATAATGAGCTTCATCATTTACATAATTAAAGGTGCACTGTGTAACTTGTTCAAACCATCGATTTAAATAACGAATCCATACATCAGGCCTTCTTCCAGACATGTTTCCCTGACTCTGATTGGCTGTCGGGTCTGCTGGGAGTGTTTATATTTGAGGCCTGTCATGGCTGCGGCGGGAAACTGTGTACATCCGTCACTCGCCTGTGTGTGTGTGTGTGTGTGTGTGTGTCTTGTCATATCTGTAAATAGAGAACAGTTGCTCTGGCTGATATGCAACATGTCTGGAGTGTGTGTGTGTGAGAGTGACTGACTGAGTGTGTGTGAGAGAGAGTATATGTGCGAGTGTGTGAGTGTGTGTGTGACTGAGTGTGTGTGAGTGAGAATTATGACTCAACAGGAGAGTGAGTGTTTTATGACACAGATAAATGGTCACATGTCTCTCTGTAACGGCGTTCGCTGTAACGCATTATATCTGTAGTGAGGATCGCTTCATTAGGGTTAAATATAATATCAAGACAGTATTGTGTCCACAGTATTATTGGATAAAGGAACAGGAACGTCTAAAGCTTGAGAGCCTTTCTGGTCAGTGAATGTTTCATGAGCAGGTTAATCATATCCATCCGCAAACCAAAACAATGTTCTTCCACAAAACACATGCAGATTAGTTCTTCAACCACTAGAGGGCCGAAACCTGCAGTGTGTGTGTGTGTGTGTGTTTGCTCTCTGGTCGTGCGAGGCCATTGACACAGCTAAGCCTGTTTTTTCTACTACTCTACAAACAGAGCGCTAGGCATGCACACACACACACACACACACACACACACACACACACACACGAGTTGAGATTGAATCATGGGTGTGTCAGGAATCCAAACACACACTATCTGATCTGATTGTGATTTCACACACACTTTCACCCTTCAGTGACGACACGCGTGAGAACCGGGAAACAGAGAGACTCACGAAACTCACTCCAGACACAGAGATACTCAACTAATCACAGTACAAGACCACACAAACACAACACATGATCATCAACTCATGTTTAAACGTGTATTATTATGCCCTAATAAAAGGAGAAACTCCACAAGTGTTTACAGGATAACTGGAATGTCACTGAACTTGCCATTTTTGGCTGAATGAATAAAAAGGCTTTATAATTAATCAAATAGTGAAATCATAGTGTTGGTGAATATTACAGCTTCATCAATTACAGTTTTATCACTTCAAATCTGCATGCTTTGATTATTAACATTTAGTTAAACCTTAAAAACGGTTTTGTACGGAAAACATGGAATTTGAAAATGAAATGCATTTTTGTTCAACTTAATTATTCATTTCATGATTTAAAAAAAAAGTAGGCTAATCCAAAAAAATGTAAATGGAAAAACTCAATTTTAGGCAAATAATATGAGAGTTTGGCAGAGCCCTGATTAATGAAGTCTTGCATTTCTGCAGCTAAACAACACACTTCTGGTCCTGTTTCCAACACACACTTCTGCTTTTTTCTGCTGACGCTCAGTCACACACACTAAATAATACATGACGAGACAGATCGAGTACACACACTCACAGTTATGAAGGAAACACACAACCCTGTCCACATGTGAATAACAACACACACACACGCATGAGCAACACACTTGCAATGCACTGGTCTGTGTACTTGCATATAGGGTGTGTGTGTGTGAGTGTGTGTGCGTGTGTGTGTGTGTGTGTGTGTGTGTGTGTGTGTGTGTGAGCTTCCCAGCGTTCCAGAGATGCCTGGAATTCCCTGGTGTGACTGCAGCAGGTTTAGAGAAGGACTCGACTGTGACTCATAATCACACACACACACACACACACACACACACACACACTCTGCACAAAGACAGCATTTACCTGTCTGACCCTGACCTTGCTGGAGGTCATCTAATGACCCTCAGCACAGCAGTGATGATCAACTCGTACGCTCCTCGTTACACGTGTGTGTTGTTCTCCAATAACGACTCGTCTCACACACAGACAAAACGACAACTCACCGGACACACACACAACTCAAAGTAAAGACACACTTCACTCATCAAAGCTAATATGATAAAAACACAAATCATCTATTCATACAATAATATGAAAAAATAATATTTTTAATTATAATCATCACTAAAAATACCAATAATCAATAAAAATTAATAAAATAAATAAATAAATAATACAATTATATTAATATTTTAGCAATGAAAATTCATATGACAATCATAATAAAATTATTATTCTTATATTTATTATTATTACAAATATTTAAGGCAAACTTTGAAGCCAATTATTGAATTTAGTGCTGAAAATCGACTTTTAACACAATTACAAAACGAAAACCCCAGAACCCATAATCTATCATGCGCATCATCTATTAATGAGACCGTTATTCCCAGATGCACATTATCTCAACATAAAGAATTCAAATGATTTGCAAACACAAGTACGCACACACACACACGCGCTATTGGTGTATTATCCAATCAAACTTAGCGAAACTCCTGCCATCGTCTCACTGAACACTGAACGCTTCCCCTTTAATGACATCAGACACAAACGGTGTCCGTTTCACAGGACGCTTTATGAAAACACACACCCGGCCCTGAAACACAACACTGACACACTCCTCAGAAATAAAAGCGCTTCAGGGAAAGCATGTCGTCTTCCTCTCGGCTTCACGGTTCACGATCCACACACACAGATCCGACGCCAACAATAAGCAGAACACGTGTGTTTATGTTCAGATATATGCAAACGAATCATTCAAGTGCTCGGCCAATCAGAAGCAGACGAGACAATACTAGGGATGCATTATATATGGGCCACCATATCGGTATCGGCCGATATTTGTTTTCTTTTTATGTTATCGTTATCGGCCCGATAAAAAAATGTGGCTGATATGTTAAAGCTGATAATGAATTATTTCCTTCAACACCTGAGACTCTTCAGATGCGCACTGTTCAACATGATTGATC